TTTATCTAGCGCCATCATGTGGTCAAAAACATCTATAGCCTACAGCTATGCTAGCGGCTCAGGGAGGCTGTACTTATACAGTTAAAGTGTTTTATTTATTTATGTCCATTCTGAACAACTACACATAAAGACTGGTGACTGAACAGATTGTGTTTACAGTACTGCAGTAAAAACAAAACCTGTGACATTTCCATCTAAACCAATATGTTCTGCTGGTCTCTGTCCATGGTCGATTTAACACAGCGGTGATCCAGCTCACAACAGGCCATGAAAGATTTTCCATTTTTTCAGTCTGGTACTTCTCTGCCGCCGAACAGGAAGTGATGGCTTTAATGATTTCTTTGCAATACTACAGAATTGTTAAGAACTATTATGTGGTTCTCATGCACAGTGATAGTGCCACCTCCAGAAACCCAAACTGCACAACAGAAAATGCAAAGTAGAAAATGTCACTGTTCCCTTTGTTTTGAAGTGATTTTTGGGAAGTGAAGTGCAATTGAACCAGAGAAGATGCCAAAAATGGAGACCGAAAACACGAAAGAGGCACCAACAAGTCACATTACAACTAGATGAACAATTCCCAATATGAAGTTCTTCCTGTCCCAACAGAAATAAACTAACTCTTTCAAGTGCAGAAACTAAATCCAACCACATGAAACCTGATCGAATACAATCAGAACAGAACACTGTTACTGAGGAATTCAAACTAATTAGGAGCATTTGGCGGCAACCTCAGGTCTTATGACTCTAACAGTCCTGATGTGTTTAGTTTAACCTATTTATATTTGACAGCCGTCGCCTTGTTTACAACAAACTGATGAAAAACACCAAAACTACAGGCAGCAAGAGAGGCTGTGTTTAAATTCTGACTACAGAAATCAACACGACACCGTCGGAGAAATAGTTTTACCTGAGAATACCAACTCTATTGGTCTTTTTGAACTACAAATAGGCCCAGTCCGTGAGTGGTGTTAGATACGCACCATTTTTAGCTGGAAAAATACAAAACAGCAAAGAGGGACAAAATAATTGATTCATTTAGGCTAGGAAATCTATGTAATTTGCAAACCTGGAATCAGATCCAAAATAGAATTAGCTTTCAGACTGTAACAAGTAGCCAATTAGTTGACAGGGGAGACAGATCCAGTTCATTTCGTTCACCCACGATTAGCAAAACACCAATAAACGACTCTTTTGGTTCTGTATTTTTGAAATACTCCACATAGCTATATATTTCTGTGAAAATTATAGATCCAACACAAAACTGACAGGCGGGACTGAGGAAAAGTCGAAGTATGTAAGTATAACTCGTGATGAAAGAACAGGTGTTAATACTAACTTTAATGCTAGCACAGGTGAATCCTAAAACAATGACTCTTTTCCATTGGGCTGTCCCAGTAAGTTATAATAGTTAGCCAGTATGAACAACACCAGGCTCCTGAAACTGAGACAGCTTCATGTGTGTGATGAGTCATCTAGTCTACTCCATTTCTACTGTCTGGTCTATTAGTCTCCACTCTTTTCAGTTGTGTTTTAGAGAGCAACATATGTGCGGTATACGACTCTTTACTTTTGTTTTCCACCTAGCTCGTTTCTCCTTTTCCTTGAGTCTACTCTGTTTTATTGCTTATTGAGTTGGCGGTCATGTGATCTGTGAGCTGGCTGAATTTGTGGTCCCATTGTTGGCCCCAGGACAGTAAAACACACAGCATCATTATCAGGTGGAGAGCCCACCCTGCTCTCTGGTGTCTCCTGGGTCCGAAAGCAAAAAATACATTTAGCACAATCAACTAGCGTTAACACTTCTGAAAGTATACCGATTGTCTACACATGCTGTTCTTGCTTTTTAATGATTGGAACAGTGAATAAAGACCTACCCTGCCTCCAAAAAATATTAATTTTGGTCAAATTAAGCTTCTTTCCTTCAAAAACTCTGCCTTGAAAGTCTTTATGAACATATTTTGTACATCATCTTCCACCTCATCATTGACACTAAATGATTTCAAATAAACTGTTGAAAACATGAATCTTCCATCTTCAGTCTTAAGTCTTTATCAAAAGAAAATAGCATCAATAATATGAAATTCATTAAGAATGTTCAAGTTTAATATGAAGTATTTAATAGAGATTACATTTCACAATAAGGTAGTCAGTTGCTACAATAATATTCTATTTATTATGCCTCTTACATAAAATAGAATCAGTGACAGTTCTGCTGCAGATATAGAGCAGTTGATGCTGATATAGCGCTCTGTGGCCACTGGCCTCGTTTTACCATACTACACTTACTACCCACAGGAAATGGTTTCAGAACCACACCGCCCACAACATCGGCAAAACCCATTTTCGGGCAAACAGAACCACAAACAGGACATGGTCACAGTGTGAATACTGAAAATGTAAAGAAGTGTAACTTGTTCATTTACTACTTCATGAAGAAAACAGACTTAACTTCTCGATTGTTGATATTAACGCCGACTAAAATCCGTTTTTACAGCCATTTAGTCTGCTTTCTGCAAGTTATGTCTTACTGATGCTTCCCGTTTCTGTGATTGTGCAAACTTTTTACGTAGTCTGCTGCTGTATGGCCCCGTCAGCGCCGAGTTAAGATTTTGGTAGGGCAAATTAGTGAAAAAAAAAACTCCACTATGTGATGTCTTTTTCAAGAACAAACACACGTCTCTGTTCTCCACTGAATAGACAGAAGGGAGTTACATTCTACCAATATGTCACATGTCTGACTCGGTAAACACATGTGCAGAGAGGACAGAGTGGGGTGATGGAACTTAAAGCTGACACTTTGGTTTACTGCTATGTTTTGTTATGCTCATCATTCACTGACAGATAACAGTTTTATCAGTCCTCGGCCAAGACATAAAATATGGGTCTTTTAGAGCATTAGTGTTGGATAGTTAGTTTATATTATTTGCCTTTTTCTTAATTATTGATTTAAGCCTAGGTAGACAAAATAAACCTCGTATTTTCTAGAATATTAGTAAAGTTGGTGTTTTAAGTAAGGAAACATTGCATAATAATAATTAACATAAAATAAGTTTGTATTATAATTTAGTGCCTCAAAGTTTATCCAAGAGCAAGATATCAATAGGATCATGTTTCAGTGTTTTATTACCACAGGGTGTTTCAAATACTTGAAATAAACACATATCAGATATCACATATTATTTTCAAAATGGCTTCTGTATTTTCACTATTTTGCATGCGTGCCTTAGTCAAACATTTACCTCAGAATCTCCTCTGCTATAAATCATGAAAAAAGGGACACTGATACGAGAGCAAGAGAGAGAAATTCCACAAAGACACTTTCAGTCACATCCAGTGAACCCTGCAGCTAATTACTGTTTTCTAACTACAGACTGTACATGACATTATTTCCCCTCTGTAGTCAAACCGGTTTTAAGATAATGCTGTTTCAACGGAGCTAGTGGGCTGTTTCTTCTACACAGACTGTTAGACGTTCAGTCCAATTCAAAAGTCACAAAGTGTTCAGTGAAAGGAAAGTGTGCCCTGGATGATAATTAAATACATAAAACATCAAAGTACCTGACCTGACAAGAGTACAAAGTCTGCTGATTTGTTTAATTATTGGTTTTACACTCATTGAGCGAGTCTGCTATATGTTGTTTCTGGTGAAATGAGCTTTAGAAAGTTAAAGGTGCTTAAAAAAGGGAAAGATTTAGTGGAGTAACCCGAGTCTACCTGAGCATAGGATGAAGTCACTTCCCTGTGTGCGTTGTTATCCGAGCTTCTTGTTTCTTTGTTGACATAGCCGTGCAAGCAGCGCATGCTTTTGGTGCATGTTGGTGCATGTGATACGGACTCACGCACCTGCGGCATCCCAAATGACGGCGTATAGTTACGGGAGCGTAGCACCCACCCACTGGTTCCCCCTCAGGTTAACACTGTTAGCACCGTCAGCTGCAAGCCCATCGCTTCCGACTGAAAACGTAGATCCTTCAAAATTGCTCCAAATTATTTTATTTCACATTCAAAAGAATAAGGGGCTCAGCCAATACCTGAAACAGCTGGCCATTGTTGTATTCAGAAAACGTAACTGGAGTAAATAGTTAATTTGATGTGGACAATTTTCAGTCTTGGTTTAAGAACAATTTGGTGAGGTTGTTTTTGGGATCAACTCAAAATAAACATTGATTGAAGGAACATTACATTGACACTACGCCGCTAAACAACAGAGGGTTATAGCACAAGGGAATAAGTCATCCGGCTGTGGCTGTAAAACAGTACTTGTTGGTAGAATACATGTATTGTTGAAACTTTAAGATATGACAGGAATTTCAATCCCTTTTCTGGCTATCATCTATAAGTCTGTAGAACACACAGGGCTATGCTTACGTTTGATCGTCTTTATTTTCTATTTTTTATTGATTTTAAGGAAACAATGCATTTGTAGGTATGTAAGGTATCATGATTTTGGCTGATCTTTATCTTATGAATAAATAAAAAGGCTGAAAAGATACACATCTATTGCTGTTAATGATAAAGGATTGACGGAATATTTGGTTAAACCGCTCCTTGTTTCGCATTACACAAAACAACTTGTTTAAAATGGATAAATAACAACAACTAGAAGTCAAACTGGTTTTCTGAACTCTAAATTGATCAAAAACAAGTTTCAGTAGAAAACAACAGCTGTTGATGCTTTCCTTCAGAACATCACCACTATCATGAGACTGAGCATGAGAGTAAATTCATGACCAGAGTCCAGATAACAAGCGGCCTGGATGATGCAGCTGAGCGCAACAACACGGAAACGGTTATCAGCTTGTAGGAAAAGGTGTGATCACATTCCACAGCTACAGATGCGCCCGCTTTATTTCCCTGTAAAAAACTTCTTTCAAATGTCGACTCTACATCTTCCCATATCGCCCTGCAGCCCGTCACATGCCTTCTAAAGTCAGCAAACACCTCTGACATGTACTCGACAAACTGGTCAAACAAAGCTGAGCGTCTGAGCTTCTTACCTCTCAGTGGCTCCTTAGATGATTCCACAGTGCGAGATCTTGAGAGAGATACGAGCCGTCCAGAGCAGCTGACCAGCAGCCCTGCATCGACACCCACTGACCGACTGACTTAATGACCAAATGACTGACTGACGGAGTGACTGACTGACTGAAGGGAAGACTGACTGAATGAGTGGGAGGTTGGATCACTGGATGACTGACTGCTATTCAGCTGAAGGCAGCAGAGCAGAGAGCCACTCCCCTCGCTCACCAGCTGACTCGCTGCCTGGCTGGAGGGATAGATGGATGACTAGTCTAACGGCTCTGCCTGACTGAAGTGTCTTATTAAATAACTGAATGAAAGACTGACCAAGAAACTGACCAACTGACAGTACAAATAATTGACTGAATAAATGACTAAACATAAATGGTAAACTGCCCAACTGACCATCCAACCAAATAACTGATTGGCTACCTAAGTTAATACCTGGATGACTGACTAAAAGATTAACAGACTATATAACACTGAAAAACTTCCTGACTGAATTAACTAAAATACTATGATGTTGCCGTCCGTCCGTCCATCTAACTGATTTCAAATATCAACCAGCAGCTGACTGGTTGTCCTACCAGCTGAACGGTTGGCTCGCTGGTAAACAGACTGGTTAGTTACCTACTGAGGTCCAGATGCAGTTTTGAGGGTTTCTCTCTTTCTGCTACTACTCCTTCCTTCTCTGCCATATTCTGCTTCTCTGTTCCTCTGTGTAATAAAAGGGTGGGGCCGAGCTACAGTAAGCTAGTTCTGGACACACACACACACACTCTTATCAGGTACAGCAGTACAGCCTCAGATCATGCTGGTGGAGGATACCGTGTATTTGTGTGTATGCATGTGTAGTTTGCAGTAGTAAAACGGGAAGTAGGTAAAAAATTAGACGGGACAGCCCGAGGCAAATTCTTAAGCAGAGTAAATACATTATCTGTCCTCCTAAGCACAAACAAAACTAGGTCTTCTCTATGTAATAAGCATATTTGCAACTAAAGAATGGATGGCAAATAAACTAAAATAAATATTAGTTATTAATTGGAGCATGTAGGCGGAGCTGCACGTTGTACTACTGTAGCATTGTATTTCAAAGTAAGTTTGCTTTTAATGCAAAACTCAATACTCCGTCTCCTGGAGGATTTCACTGTTACATCGCAGTTTCAGTAAATATTATAATAATAATATACTTTATTGTTGTTTTTTAAGGGTATGTTAGATTTAATTATATTACTTATTCATGTACTGCTTTTGTAAAAGTACTGCATTTCCTGTACTTGTCAGAATTATTTTTTAAAAGTTATTATACGGCTACTTGGGCTAAGACAACATTTAACTAGAAAACCATAGTTCTTTGGCTCCGCCCACTGATATTCACCAGAGCCAATGAGCATATTACTACTTCCACAGCAGTTCTGCCCAGCTACAATCCGTTTCATCGCTTTCGGACTGACCTGAGCAACACAGCAACCGAGCGTCTTCGGCTGGCCGGCAGCCATGACGGCTTCATTAGAAACGTCCATCATCCACAGTGACGATAACACAAGGAGGCACCAGCAAAGTACAGGGACGGGGGGGGTGAAAGGACACAGACCAAAGATACTACTCTGCCTCCTACTCTTTCTTCCTCCTTTAAATGTTGACATATAGAGGGTGAAAACCGAGTTATGGGCTTTTAACATCAGAGTGTGCAACGCTATCTATGGGGCGTCTGAACAATAGGCAGTCCCCACAAAAGGCACTGTTTGCAGCAATTCCATTAAAATGAATTGATTTTCCTGCACAATGTCACTCTTTTCAGTCATGCAGCACTTAACTGAACCTTAAGCATCAAGTCTTTAGTTCATTTTCTCTGGTATCGCAAAAATAATGAAGAAATGAGCACAGGAACTGCCGACATCCATTGAATAGGACACAAGCACACCTGGCTGTAACTCCTTTGTATTTCATAATGCATCGGGGGAATTCCCTCATTCATGTGCTGATGCGCATACATCTCAGATTTTTTCTGTCCGTCGTCCGTCCGATTTTTACTTTGTGCAGGAGACATTCAAACTGGTGTTACTGGACAGATATGGTTGAAAAAGCTTAAATAATTGATGAGAACATATCTCCTGTACCCTCTCAGCTGGTTTGGAGTCTATATGTGTCCAGGCGATGAAGCATCATGCAGCTCATGTTGGTGACCTTTTAGGCCTTTAAAGGCCACCTTACCACAACAGTTACCATGACAAAACAACATCCATCACTGAAACACTGACGGTGGGAGACAATACTCTATTAACTGTTCATTTCTCTCTGGTCTTTTTATTCGAAGATATCTGGGTGTCAGGAACAGATCACCTCACCCATTATAAATTATCTCAGAGCTTCTGCTTTCACACCACGTTGTCATCCATCTTGGTGCGCTCTGCCTTCTCTTCTATAGATGTATAGAAGACTGTTACATTTAAACAAAAATGTAATCACACTCCACTCAACAGCTCAGCTATTTAATCCAACGGTCTCGTTTCTTACCAAGCACATACCATTGTTATACCATTATTTGTAGAAAAAGCTTTAACTTCAACTCTTGAAACTGAAAGCTGTAGGTTTGCTAAGTAAAAAGCACCATTCAGTCAAACAGCAGCAGACTAGTCTGGGGGAATATTGTTGGCGGCGTCGGCAGGATAGTGACATCACTCCATGTCAAGGATAATTCTGTCTTTCATTGTGTTCCACATGATTTGTTTAACAGGAAAATGCACTGAGTGCATGCAGGGACAAGAAAGGCCACTGGACCAAACAATGGATTTACTGAGACAACACAACCGCTCACATCACTGAGTTTACAGTTTTTTCTTCTTCATTGCTAAAGCCCTTATAGAGACGTTACACATGCACGTGTCCGTGTCTTTCCTTCCATCAAATCAGCATCAACAGCAGCACCAGACTCTGCCCCCCGACAGTAGCAGAGATGCTCTGAAACATTTACAATCCCTCAACCCACATTGGCTGAATGTGAAAAGGGCAACGGAGTCCAATCCAGTCTGCTAAGACTTTGACATTAAGCGTAAACATCCTCCGAGTCGGGGACCGCAATTCCAGCAATTCCCAGTGAACCAGAGAGAAGTTTTTAAAAATGAATTGTGTTAATATATTGGATGGGCTTGACTGGTACAGAAGAAAGACGTACAGCTGACATGGAGATGGAACTGAGTTCACAGTAAGCACTAATGTGAACAACAAAGATACAAACCGATTTTTATGGAAATGAACTGAACCCAATGAAACCAGAGGACCAAGGAAGTAAAACAAATAACTTATTTTGGAAATGCTAAGGAAGAATGTGAGGTATAATGATTTTGTACTAAGGTGTAAAGCAGGCCAAGGACCGGTCATTTCAGGATCAAAACAAACTTGTTAAAATTTAAGGATGTCTTCTTGATTTATCTAAACTCATCTGCAGAAGTGAGCCCTCAGCTGAGCCGAAGGTGGAAAACAATGGGGCAGTCACGCAAATTCCATTACAGCCCTGTTAAAAACACTGAAAGAATGTCCTCTCCTATCTAAAATTATTAACCCAGGGACACTCAGCAGAACACAACAACAGAGTCTTTCTCCTAAGAGTTTGACAGCTTGCAAGCGAAGTTCAAATCCCAGCATGAAGACAAAGCTGCTTCCTACAAACAGCAGAAAAAGCAGGGAGTATTCTTTTGTCATTAACTGTATTTAGAAAACATACACTTAACATTACAAACCATCCAATTTTTCCGGTTATTACACTTGTAATGTAGTATCGTACTAATTCACACCCATAGCAGACACAGTATGTGCCATACCAGCCCGTTCTCATTCCCAGGCCGTGACTGGGAGAGTCTGACTGAGATAGGAAGCGTTGACATTTTGAGATATTCCAGAGATGATGAAAGGGTACTTTGGCGATGCTGCTAAGGTGTAATTGAAAATTAAAGTCGGTATCAATCATAATTTCTAGGTGATTTTTAGCCGTGCTAGCTGCATGGCTCCATGGACGGCAGTGTTGGTTGGTATGTCCTCCACTTTGGTCCAAACTGAAACATCTCAACTACTCGAAGGATTGCCATGAAAAGTTGAAGATGTACAAGGAGGATGAAATTTGATAACTTTGGTGATCCATGAAGTTGACACTTTTGATTTCAAGAGAAATGTCTCTACGACCAGAGGGGAATGTAGTGTAAAGTATGGAAGACAAAAGCTTGCTACAGATGTTCGGTTACGTCGCCTCTGAAATGAGACCTCCTGCGTGAGACCAGCATGCCGTCTCGCCCGCCTCTCACAAGTTGATCAGGTGTTAATCGTTTAGGCACACCGAGGCGAAATGTGACTCAGTGAGCACTCACATTGTTGTTTCCTGCCAGCACAATGGAGGCCATTATAGCTCGACTGCTGATCATCATGTCGTAATGCCACGTTCTTCGCCCGGCAGTGGCAGTGTCAGCGAGTCAGCACAAATGGCAGTCGCTGGTGTAATGTCCACCTCCTGTTTCAGATTAACACGGCAGCTCCAGTCAGCAGCAAACCGGTTAATGGAGACAAATGAGTATGAATATTTATCGATTCAGTCGGTCCATGAGGATAGTGTCAGGAACAGAAGTGCGGTGTCTGGGACTATTAATGAACTCAAATTATTCCCATGGGCTGCGTTTGAAGAGTTTCAATCAAGACAACAGATATTTAAAGGAAATAAGAACCCCCGGAAAAAAGGAACAACAAATTTGACTGCTGTACATACCTTGTTGTGAGCAGTTTCCTTTCGGAACCATTTTCTTTCAACCATAATGCCTACATGAAAAAATGCTCACAACACGGTCTTTGGATAATCTTAAGTAAATGTGTCATACTTTCCGTAAAGATCCATTGCAATTGTAGTTTTGGGCTCTTTGAGCACCACAAACCAAGTCCCATTATATTCAAGAGAAGGCAGATAAATCCCTAAAGCCAATATCTCCAAACTAGGAAACTCACAACAAAACCATCTATAAACACATGACAGGTAAGAGGAATAATATGCATGTTTTATGTGGGGGTGTACTGTCCCTTTAACACCAAGACGAATGCCATTCCCATCAGCCTTAGCTGTACTTTGTGTTTAGATAGCAAATCTTATGCTTACACACTAAACTAAAACATTATACGTGCTGAACATCAGCATTTAAACATCGTCATTGTTAGCAGGTAGGCTAGCTGACATGTTATTTAGCTCAGAGCTAAGTACAATCGCACTGTCTTCTGAGATCTAAACCTTGTTTCGCTCTATTTTCTAAATTATTGGATTTCCTCCCGTTAAAGCTAGTGTTCGCAAGATCGGGAGATTCAGAGAGTCTGGTCGGTCCAGTCTCCAGTGTGGCAGCAGAACAACATGAAAAGAGCCATGAGGAGTGGCCTGCATCTGCTTTGTGTGTTTTGTCATGAAAAGTGATGGTCGGTGTCTTGTCTCTGTTCGTCATTTCTCTCCATGCCCTTATAAATGCATAATCTATAAGCTTGCTCGGGAGATGAATTATTGAAAAAAACACGAACACACATAAGGTACAGTGAGTGCTGCTGCCGTCGCCCCCATGTGTGCCACTGTCCCGGTCCTCCGTCCAAAACTCGAAATGTATTGAAAAAAAGATTGATGTAATTATATCTAAATTTCCAAACATGTTTTAATCTGATGAATTATCCTGTTTTAATCC